TGTCAACGTTTAGTGCCAAGTGCCATAACAATGGAACAGAATACAATGCCTAACAGTTGCAGTGGTTGTTCGCATCTTTCTACAGAACAATTAAGCAACGTTGTGTTCATCATTCATTTGTCCATTCCACGGTGTCTGCGATTGTCTCATTTGTCTTGTTCGCGAACCAAGTAGGCGTGCTTCATATCCGTTTAGTGCATTAATTCTGACATGCAATTCGCTCGGTGAATTGCTTTTAAAGTTTTTCGTCGTTAATTGTAAGAACACAGTTATTAGTTTAGTGATTTACACCCCATCCATTATCCCTGATTGAATAAAATCCAACAGCGAATAAAAGAGCTACTAGAGCAATACAGGCTGATTCACGGTGAATGACACATTAGACGTTTCTGGAGAACGCAACTCTGGATTATTCTGAGAAGTTTGGGCCTTAAATAATTCGTTGTGTTCAATCGACTTGAAATATTCCCAACGTTGCCGCTTATATTGAAAAGTAGCAACAACTTCGATTTTTTAAAAGGAACACCCTCTTTATTATCCCATTTTCAGATTCTTCCTGAAGAGCTGATTTCATTGACCCATAACACTTGGGGTCTAGCAGTAATAATTACAGAGGTATAAGAATTGTTTGTGTCCAAACTATTCATAATTGGTCAAAACGGTTTTCATGTCCCTATCCTAACTTTTCACGTACAGGGTGATTCACCATAAATGTCCCCCCCCCCCCCTAGCTCAGTTATTTTTGAACCGATACCAAAATTTGAACTATCATCTTGAATGACTTTCGATAAGGTTTTTTTCCGCTACATCAGAGAATACAGGGTGCTCGGAACAAACGATCTACAGGGTACTATGGAACACCCTATTTTTCATTGTATTTTTAGATTCTCCCTGAAGAGCTGATTTGATCAATGCGTCACACTTGGCATCTAGCGGGAATGATTACAGAGATATAGGGTGTTCAAAATCGAGATTTTTCAACTTGAGGATTCTTTTGTGATGAAACTATTCATTATCGGTCAAAACGGCTTTCATGTCTGTATCTTAACTTTTGATTTTACTATCTACTGACATTTAATAATTGGAACAGATACAAGGAGATCAGAATTCTAAATCTTGAACCACCCTGTAAATGTTCCATTTAAATGTCAGTAGATAGTAAATCAAAAGTTGAGATTGGGACATGAAAGCCGTTTTGACCAATAATGAATAGTTTCGACAAAAAAAAATCTGAAAGTTGAAAAATCTCGATTTTGAACACCTAATATCTCTGTAATCATCCCCGCTAGACCTCAAGTGTTAAACATTGATGAAATCAGCTCTTCAGGAAGAATCTAAAAATACAATGAAATACAGGGTGTTCCATTTGAAAAAATCAAGTAGTACTCTGTAGATCGTTTGTTCCGAGCACCCTGTATTTTCTGATGCGACGGGAAAAAAATTTCTGTAAAATCATTTCAGATTATTCCACAAATTTTTAAATCGGTTCAAAAATAAGTGAGCTAGAGGGAGGGACATTTATGGTGAATCACCCTGTACTATCAATTGATATTGAATTGAAATAGATACAGGGTGGTTGACCAAAAATGAGAAAAATCGAAGTTGTTGCTACCTTCTTTCAATATAAGCGGCAACTTCACAACGCTGAGAATATTTCAGGTCGATAGAACACAACTAATTATTCAAGGCACCAACTTTTCAGAATAATCCTGAGTTGCCTTCTCCAGAAACGCCAAATGTGCCATCCACCGTGAATCAGCCTGTATATATAGTCTCGAAATCGATACCCAAACAATATTTTGCGTTCTCTATTTGCTTTAACGATGATAATAATTTGAGGATGGATGGATTTCAAATGGAGAATTCTTGAAATCTTTCATGCACGACCAGGCGTAAAGTTGCACTTTATCGCCTGATGGATCAGCGGTAGTAAAGTTTATTGCTCGATAACTATTTCTTAAACGAAGCCTTACTGTGTATGTGTTATTCTTTTGGGAAGCTGATAATAGCAAACATTTTGAAAGTTAATTCAAGAAGAAAGTAACTGACATCTCTTCTGGATCATTTTTCATTTTAATCAGAGATTCATCAAGTCAAGTAGCTTGATATTTTAACAAACTACTTGACTTGACTTGAAAATCAAGCTCGTGGCAAATTACGTACTTGACTTGACTTGAATTTGAGATATTTATTACTTGACTTGAAATCAAGCTACTTGATAATACTTGATCTTGATACGCACGAGTCGCACGGCGTATATTTCTGCAAGCGCGCTCACGCTTAGACAAAATACGGGGGTTCCCCGAGATCCGAGCTGACTGAATCGATCGCGCAGTCAGTCTTAACTGGTCTTACGATGCCATTTTCATTTCATCAGTTATATACAGGGTGACCCACGGTCGATGGTAGGTTAGACGTTCACGTTTATGATAGGAACGCAACGCAGGATTTTTCTGAAAATTTCGCATCTCACATTTCATCACCGGTACTATCGATCTAATATATTTTCAAAATCACGACGTTGCCGCTTCTATAGAAAAGTAGGAACCACTTTGTTATTTCGAATTGAACACCCTGTATTTTATTGCATTTTCAGATTCTCCTTGAAGAGTTGATTTCATCGATACATCACACTCGGGGTATAGCGGAGAAGATTATGGAGATATAGAGTGCGAAAAATCGAGATTTTTCAACTTCAGGAATTTTTTGTGTATGCGAAATTTTCAGAAAAATCCTGCGTCGCGTTCTCCATAAACGTATAACCTATAACATCGAACGTGAGTCACGCTGTATAGATACACAATAAAACTGCTGAAAATCAAGTAGCTTGATAGAACTACTTGATTTTTCAAGTACTTGATAAATAATTACTTGACTTGACTTGACATTAAAAAACTTTCGCTTGACTTGAACTTGACTTGATTTCAAGTCAAGTCAAGAACCTTGAATATCAAGTCAAGCCGTGAATCTCTGATTTTAATGATGATCTTCAAAATCCCAAAAATTTTTGAGACAAAGGGGTGTATGAACTATGAACCTATAAGCTGCAAATTCAAGGTTATCTCGGCCGAACTGTCGATTGAAAATGTGCGGGAATTTAACAGGTTGTATGATCCCTAACCTCAACTCGACGGGTTAATCTCGCGGGGACTGCCAAGGGAGGAACAATTGTTGATATTCCAGAAGAGCATCGTCTACTAAATGGCTGCTGAACTGCTGAAGACATTCTGAATGTGCCGATACTGCCGATTCAGTGCGCGGTGCGGTATAAGTTGAAGTGCCGACCGTTCCGTGCCGATCCGACTGATCCGAGTCGATTCAGTGCGAGTCCTCCTTCATTCGTTCCAGAAAAAAGTGAGGCAGTAATGTGAAAACCGCAACACTCCATCTTCAAAGATAACTGAGATATCGTGCAAAGCATCGAAAATTTGACACACTGTACATACGTCCACGTATTTAGAAAAAGATCAACTGCAAGTCAATTAATCTGCTTGAATTACTGCTAATTTCTCTTTTATGAAGTTTTTATCGTATTCCGTCGAACTTTGGATTGAAAAACCGAATGCATCGAACCAATCATGACACAATACCCTCTCATCACAATTTCAGCATTCCAATTAACTGCAATTTCTCTCTGCCACCGTTCGTGATAATAACGAGCTACTATTGTTTCAGTTCATCAACATTTCCACCGATGGCGCAAATTTACATATTATTTACATAGTTTGTTTGGAATTCGGCATTCGCGATTATCTCGCTCATTTTATGACTAAATTCACTAGATTGGAAATCCGTGAGCTGGAGGTACATGAATACTTTTAAGCTAACGGCGCCTGTCGCCATAAAAACTCGAAAAACAGATGCATCGAAGATAACTGATGGAGTTTTCGTCATTGTCGAATGAAAACTTGGAGAGACTATATCATCGCTTTGCCAGTGACTTTCTGTGGATACATAGCTGAATGTAGTTTCACTAGTATTTCAATTGTGCTTGTGAAAAATCATGGCCAGTCAAAATCGACACAAAAAATAACTAAATTCGCAAAACATGAGGTATCTCTGATTTTTTAGTGTGTTGTTTGGACCCATTGGGGTACTGTATACCCAAGTATGCATTTTTCGACAAACAATGTGATATATGTTTTTGAAGAGCATCGAATGTTCAACAATTGAAGTCTAAGCAGAGCTCTGTAGGTTGATTATCAACGGAACTACGGTACTTTGAATATAGCCCATTTTTTTCGAAAGTGAAAATTTCAGTTCTGCACCTACTCTAGACCGAGATCGCGGATAAACTGTTGTTGCTACAGGCAAAACTCATGTTATAAAAGTTATAGGAAACACATTCGTTGTCGTCGATGGAGGATACCTCCTCCATAAAGTCGTGTGGCATCGGAATGATTCAGTACGGGCTATCACAGCTAGCTACATTGGCTACATATTGAACCATTTTAGGAGAAATGTATGTGTAGGTTTTGATGGGTATCGTGAGGATGGCACCCGAAAGAGCACAAAATTTGCAGCATCAGTGGAAATTGTATTTGACGCATCAACCATCATCACAGTCCCCCAAGAGAAGATGCTCTCGAATGACGAAAACAATGAAGTTCGTCCCATTGACCATCTCTGTTCTGCTTCTGCTCTCGAGGGGATTAAGACAAAAATAGCAGAAGAAGACGCAGACCGCGATATTATTGTGACTGCTCTGCAAAAAAGTACATTCAATGAACACCACCTGGGTACGACACCACCAATAAAATCAAGCCTTAGTAGACCAAGCAAAAGTTTTCCTCCAGCCAGGAGCCACACACCGAGAAGTCGCAACAGCCGGCGACAAGTGCTTAGTTGCCCTATATGGAGGAGACGAGACAACAGACACCCTCAACGATGTACGCTTCCGCACTTTCGTGAAGACAAAGCGAATCTGGCGCGTTTGCCACCAACCACAAAAGCTGTGTCGTATTATCACTATCGCATATACCACCAGGTGCGAAAAGTGACTAGGGTTGGAAAAAGATGCCGACTACTGGGGTTGGGAATTGAGTTCGGCTGGACTCATCCCCATTACCAGTCGGCCCCTGCCCCACCAGAGCTCCTGAAACTTCTTTCTTGCAAATGCAAGATGGGATGCAGAGGTGGCTGCACTTGCCTAAAAGCGGGGATCAAATGTTCTGTGTGCTACCTGGTCTGGGGAAACGTGCCAGAACGCTGCCCTTATCATCATCGAATGGGATGACGATGACAAGAGTCAAGGGAACCCTAATGAGCTTCAAGACAAACATGACGCTCCACCAATGATGGCGTACTCACCTATGGAGGACGACGACGACGATCCACCTATAGTGGGGGACCTACCCGCCGATGAGTCCATCGAAAGTGACGACCCAGGGCCATCAAAAACAAGGCGACGATTTTGACTAGGTATATTTGATCGAATAATTGATCACTGTTATTCTGATTACTTATGTTCATATTGGAATACATTTCATCATTTTCATTTCTATGTCCACCAAAAAAAAAAAGATAGGAAAGGTTCTGTAACATTTCTGGAGATATGCGATTCTATCTGATATAGGTTTTTTTCGAGATTTTGAGAGAACTACGAGGCCTAAAGACCCCGCTGTTGAAGCTAATGGAACGGCCTACAACTTTCAATGGTTCAGCCGCAATTTTGGTCGTCTAAAGTAGGTCCAGAACTGAAATTTTCACTTTCTCTATTCAAAGTACCGTAGTTTCGTTAATAAACAACCTACAGAGCTCTGCTTTGATTCAAATTGTTGATGCTCTCCAGAAACGTATATAACATTTTTTGTCGAAAAATGCATAGTTTAGGAGATATAGAGCAAAAACTGAAGAAAGTCCGAAAATTTCGCATTTTTTCGTGTGCTACACTTTTTCCACAACTTTTTGAGAGTTGCAAACTTGGGTATACACTACCCTAATGGGTCCAAATAACATACTAAAAAATCAGAGATATATTATGTTTTGTTTATTTATTGTCGGTTTTGGCTGGCGTATCAGTCAATCGAGCATACACTAGAAAAAAAATTAGTGAAATTTCACTCAAGGTCCACGCAATAATGTTCCAATTTCGGTCCGCGCCCGATTGAGGAAATTACCGTACTTGATTGTGTAAAATGGTAATTCATGAGCCGATTCAATCAAATGTGCTATCAACATTCTACTTGATAGGAAAACTTGATGAAATATCTAGTTTGTGTTGAGAATTCACTAAAAAATTTCAATCAGTAAATTCACTCACAACCACATATTATTATGATGGGGGTAAAAACAGGGAATGTCCTCGCGACAAATGTCAGAGATAATGTGATTTTAAAGATTGAAACATCACAGCTTAAATGTTTTTTATATAATGAAAGTCATTTCAAGAACACCTTTTATTCATTGAACAAATAAAATAATATTCCACTTGAACATAGAAGTGGAACTTCTGTCAATAATAGCAGTAATATCGAGGTATCGTCTGCTTGTTTCAGTTGAACAGGGAATGTCCGGTCGTATGTATGTACCTATAACCAGAAACATATATCAAGAAAAATATTTGAACGCAGACGAAAACGACAGTAGGAACTCCACAATGTCACGTTTACTACTGAATTGAGACGAAGCCTAGTTATTGAAAGGGCATCTCAATTCAAAATAAGTAGTTCTGATTGGACATTCCCCGTTTATTACGTTTCTGGTTGGACATTTTCTCATTTTCTGTTTTCTCCGTAAAACTGTTGGAGAACATGACCCTCCACGTTTTCTCGTGATTTGGGTTAAACATAGGTTGATACTTTAAATTTGCTAACAGATGGCATCACTATCTCGTTTTGAACAAAAAAGGGCATTCCCTGTTTTCTCCTGACACCCTTCATATGCAGTCACTAAAAGGCATTTTCTACAGTGTATAATCCAGAGACATCGGACATGGCTCTCTCTTTCTCCAGCTCATATCTTGTGACAATATAGTTTATCAAGACCTAAGTATATCGAATCTGAATGTTCAAAATATTTTCAATATTTTCTACTTCCTAATTACTTCAGGTTTCATCGGAAATTACTCGAAATTCAGAATGTCGAATGGAACACCCTGTATATTATTCCATTTTCCGATTCTGGAGAAGACGCTGTTACGATGAAAGTAAAATAAGTTGAATCTTGGGCTTGATATTGTCCTTCAATTGGCTCTAGCTGGTCTAAATACACTTACGTTTAGTCCTCGTTTTAGTCTCAGTTGAAGAAAAGTATAGTACTTAATTGCACACTATAAACGTAATATTGAAATGCTTCTGAGGAATAAAATTTCTAATTTTTTTTTAACTATTCAATCACACTCTGAATGGTCATCCGAATTCAAAAATGTTGGGATGTATACAGGGTATCAAAAAATCGGAATTGATTGATTGAACCATTTTCGAATTTTCAGTTCCAAACACTCTTTATCGAAACTCGTTTGTCTATACAAAGGCAAAACTTTTGAATGCTATGTCAACGGAGGTATTCCTAAGAACTTTTCTAACCTCCAAGAGTTCGACAAAATTCCAATACCTATACCCTATCTACCTCTCCTCCCAACACTGAAAAAAAAAATGAGTGAGATTTCACTCAAGGTTCACGCAATAATGTGTCAATTTCGGACCAGTACCGATTTAGTTGAAATATCACCGTAATTGACTGTGTAAAATGGTAATTCATGAGCCGATTCCATCAAATTTGCTATAAACATTCTCATCGATAGCAAAATTTGATGAGACATCTAGTTTGAGTTGAGACTTCACTCAAAAATTTCAATCAGTCAATTCACTCACGACCACATATTATGCAGTCACTCAAATGAAATTTCTAGAGTGTAGGTATTAGTCTTTGAAAAATAGTTATTTCTGGAAATTTCCTTTTTATTATGATGTTTTCCGGCAGATCAATAACTTGTGGACTGATCACTCGGATATTGTAGGCGGACTTCGCAAATTTTGTGATAAGTCTGTGGAGTCGTTGGAAGATGGGTTCTACTTTAGTTGAATTGTATAGTAGGGTATTGGTAGGGTTATGTAAAGGATTATTAGGATGTCGGATTTTAGTAATGGCTCTTGAACAACTTCTTCCTGCAACTTCGATGTGCTTCAGTTTAGTATTTCTGCATGTGCTGAACAAGATGAAGCTGTATTCAATTAGAGGACGATATATGGCTTTGTATAATGATGTCGCTGTTGTTGTCTTTATACCCTGAGTCTTTTAAGTGAAACCACGAGAATGTTTGGCTCTTCCAATTGCTTTCATCTTGACTGATATGAGATGTCTCTGGAACTTGAGTTTATTGTCTAGTAATATTCCAAGATATCTAGTTTTTGCTACTGGTTTATTGGTCTCATTCAGAATATCGATGGTCAAGGAATCGTCCTTTATTTTATGGTGAAAAATCATGAGTTAACATTTCTTCGGATTAGGTGTTCTGTCATTCAGTTCGTGCAAAATTGGTATTTCGTGATAATAAAACAATTTAGTACTTTTGTGAGATGTGATGATGCACCTATGCGTGTATTCCAATTTCCAATAATTTCACTTTGATACTAAATTTCAGTCGAAGGTACTAGGATACTGAATTGAGTTAGAAAATACTAAATCTAGTACTCTGAAATACTAAAAATGCCAACACTATAAAGCACAAATCCGACCTGTCCTGGAATACTGTTCGCATATTTGGAGTGCAGCACCCAATCATACCCTGAAACTGTTGGATTCTGTCCAAAGAAGGGCAATTCGTCTCGTGGGTGATGCCTCGCTCACAAACTCACTCACTTCTCTGGAACACCGAAGGAAAGTTGGCGATCTGGCTCTATTTTATGGATATTTTCATGGACGATGCTCTTCTGAAATATCAACAATTGTTCCTCCCATGGCAGTCCCTGCGAGATTCACCCGTCGAGTTGAGGCTTCGCACCCCTTCGTGGTCACTTTGGAGACCTGCAGAACATCTCTTTCCAAAGACTCGTTCATTCAACGAACAGCGAGGCTCTAGAACACATTGCCAAGGGATTTGTTCCCCGAGGCATATAACCTCCAGAAATTCAAGAAGAAAACCAATTGCTACCTCATTTCCCTTGGTTCTCACGATGTTCTCTGAACATTACAGGATATCCCTTTTTGTGGGAACCAGAACATAAAAAAAAGAAGGCGCAGAATGAGGCGCATCAGACTGAGGCGGAATCTAAATGCCCTTTATGTATCGATTCGATAAACAACCTGTATAGTTACTAACTGGTAGAAGTAATGAAATTTTTTATCTCTTGTATCGCACGAAAAGAAATTTCTATATTGTTCGTGGAGCATCGTGCGTACGAAGACCAAGGAAGGATAGGGAGAGGGGGTGAGTGTTAGATTTATTTTTAGTTTTGAAGGTTACAAGTTCTTGGGAATACTTCCATCGACAAAGAATTCCAAAGCTTCTCGCCGTTCGATAGAGGAATCGAATTATTTCAAGGTTAACGACGAAATGATGTGCTGACTGGGCCTGTCGAGAGAGTTCATGCAAGTTTTATTGATCTTCGAGTTCTGCAGCAGCTCCAGACTCGGGAAACTCGTTCCTGTTTTCCATCTATTTATGACGGTGGAATCAGGGAAACCGAATAATCTGATGGACGCGAATTCGAAATAGGCAATCAACGAGCAGATAATTAAGGCAGACGGTCCATTAGCTGGATGACTGTCTCGTAAATGGATTGGGGAAGTTCTCCCCTTTATGCAATAAATTATCCCATTTGCCTTGAAATTCTCGTGACCGCGGTACATATACATATCTTGGAATAGTTTTGGAGCGTGTGCGATATTGATGGGACTCATTTGCAGGAGATAACGTCCTTTGGTGCCTTAGTGAATTCACATTGACGGAGACATATACCGGGTGGTCCATTCAAGACTATTTACCCTCAATAACTCTCAGAAAAATGATTTTACGAAAAAATAACGAATCACATCGATATTTATGTGAAGGGGGATACCGTTTGATTCAAAAGAGATAATACATACTCCAACCCTCTACTTCCTAGAGCAACCCTCTCGATAATTTGAATTGGGAATAAGGGTCATGCAATACATCATTCCAAAGGTCGTTCAATTCTAACACTAGCTAGCAGTGCAAAGTTTTTT